AAAAGAGCCCAAAAAACTTTAAAGGAAAACATGCAGAAAGATGATGAACAAGCGAAGGAACAAATAGCCCAGAGTAAGTGCGAGATAAATTTAAAAGAAAACACTGAACGAGTGCAGGCAGTGAAAGATAAAAAAGTAGAAGAAGCCTCTCAAAATATATTTCTTAAATACAAAATTAAAAAGATAGACTTAGCTGCTTTAAAACAACAACCCAAATGCACTGTATGCGAAAAAACCGTTTATGTGACAGAACAAGTTCTGTATGAAAACTTATCTTTTCACAGAAGTATATCTTATCTTTATTTTTAAAACTTTTATACTTATCCATTATTTTAAAAAGCTTGTTTCTGTTGCTGTCATTGCAATAAAGTTCTTAATTTGAGCGATTTTTCCTCAATTGAGGTCTTATAATATGTGAAACTTATAATTTTTTTTATTAATAACATAATTAAACCTGGTTTTATATATTTAGGGAAGAATTTATTGCAAAATTCATTACGAGCAGCTGTCTAAGCTTAATGGGAATTATAAAGAAGGGTTTGAAAAGGCTGGTCACAAGAATGGATGGACCAGAAGAGATAAAGCTATTCAAAAGACAGTTTTGCCAGAGATTAAAGAGACAGTATAACCTTTGACAATCCTTTTGGCGATTTAAGAAACTAAAACATTAATAAAAAATTCACTGTTTTAAGATATATATTGTTTTAGTAATAATGAGTTAATCCGACCAAAGGTGGATGGGTCGATAGTCGCTAGGCTCGGATACGAGTTAGGATGTCTTCGGTAACATCGCATCTACGGCCATATTCCATCACCCTGGAGGATAGCCGGAGGTCACTACCGTGTTGACCAGGCAGCATACATGATTTATAGCAGCCTGTGGCAGTTGTTTTAACCTAAGGTTAGTAAAGCCGTCAGGGCGAGGTGCCTTTCTGTCCAATAGTAACTTGACAATTAATTTGATTCGTCTGTGGGTACAAGGGGGCCGTTATCGAACAGTTAAGGGGTTAAACGACGAACACTGAGCAGCTAGAGGACCAGCAAAGGGGCTTGCTGTGTCTTCCTTTTCCGGCTACGGTCTCGCCCGATGGGGAGTGGTGGCCGAGTTTTATGCCCGCGAAGCTAACTCGCTTGAGAAATTCCCAAAAGGAAGCGCCACCGGCTTCCGATACTTCGTTTAATTTGTTAACCCGTGGACAGTTTATATGAGCCACAGCTTTTTCCTGATGTGTCAGTGAAGGCGGTTTAGACTGATTTTGTCTTCTACGCTTTGAAAGAGCATGACTACTAGAAAGAGTCGCCGACGCTCTCATATTAATACCTTTAGTCCCTCAAGAAAATGTTTAGGGCGGTACACGGTTTGACGGGTCGACAGTGCTTTACTGTGAGTTTCACCGGCGCTCAATTACACCAACGACACTGTTTAGTTTAGCGGGGGTTCGAGTGGTGTGTTAAACGGTGGGAGCACATCTTCGAGCAATTGGGTGATTTGTTTTAATTCTTGTAAGATCGAGGAAATCTTTATTGCCTCTTTTTCGTTGCCCAATTCGAGAAAGACGGACAAGTGATCCGACGACAATTCATTCGGCGCCTCAATAATCGTTGAAAGGCATACATTTTTTCACACGGCGATATCCAGTAGGTCCGTGGTGCTCTCTTCTTCACCATGTGTGCCTGCAACCAAGGTCCTAGGACTCTTAACCTGCCTTCCTCAGAGTAAGCCTCAAGAAAGGAGCCGTTCCGATTTGCAACCTTGCTGTTCCATGCAGAATATTTACAGTTATATACCCGCAAGAATGGCCAGGAAGTCATGCATTAAGAGAGTGTCAAGATCGAACCTGAGTGGTTAGCTTGGCGGTTATAGATTGCTATTTGTCATGAGCCCCTGCTTATCAAGTTGATAGTAATACCAACTGCCTCGATTCCTTGCAGAGCTGCTAATAATATTGTGTGTTAAATGCTTCGTTGATACACATATCTACTCCTCCGCTACTGATGTACAACAATCCTGGGAGAAAACGGTGCTTCGCTGAAGAAAGAAATTATTTTTTGTGTACGTTGCATTAACTCCTGAAACTCGTATCTATTCTTCTCGACGCCCTTCGCATTTCAAAACATTTTATTGGATGAGATTAGCGTTTGATAGTGTAAGGCCATTGCTAACAAATTCTAAACCTTCCCCGATCACGAGCATGGTTGAGAGATTCATCGACAAAAGTTGCCGTAAAATTGGTTGCAATCGATGTTCTTGTTGTTGAATAACCGAATCTGCACTACTAATGTAAGATTCGCAAGGGGCGCTTCGTGCAGTCTCACTCTCCGGCGGGATGCATAGGATATAATTTGGGTAATGGTAGCATCCGAGGTGGTAATTGGATGTCGTGCCGCGTGGGTTGTTCGGCTGCTGAAGGACCCGAGGTTAATATTGGCAGCCTTGATAGTTTGCGGTAGGTGCCTCGCCACAGTTCGCACATCTAGCAGGCGAGTCTAACTCTATGGCTAAATGATCCACCGCATTTATCTGGTTTAAAGATACAGGAAGAGTGGTTCACGCAGGAAATGAAAATTTAAACGTTTTATAGTAAACAAAAATCTAATTAGCTAATAGACAGAGTGATTGCTAAATGTGCGCGTTGCAGGCAGAGACGTTAAAATGTCCATAGGAACATTTTATGGTGGATATAAACTGACAGGCATGCAAGCGTCCTGTTCTTGTTGACAGTTATTTAACATATATTTGGATAAAGTATCACGCGAGATAAAGACAAACTTAAAAGCTATTCAAACAAGTAGCTCTATATCGCCGAACACTTTGTAAAAATGAAGAGTTCATAAAATTTTTTTAAATGCAGAGGTTTAGAAACACAACGATATATCATAAAATGAGGGTATAGCAGAAAGAACACTTAAACAACAGATTATAAAAATAATGCGCTTTTAGATAAGTAAAATAACATTCTCAATAGGATACAAAACATATTGCTCCGTTTATATGATATTAAAGGTAATTGAACCATTATAAATATACTGTAACCAGTGAACTGAAAGATCAAGGAACTCGCCTAGAAACAATGGAGAGTACTCATTGAAAGCTCCAGAAAATTAATTTAAGGATAATCAATTAAAAGGATCGAGCCGTAAAGAGAACAATAAAACAGATATACAGAAGGATCACACCAAAAGGAGACATCAAAGTGATTTAGGGAAATACCTTAATTTGGTTGATAACTCTAATTTAAATAAACAAGAGCGTACAAGAATTTAATGAGTGGGAACTTAGATTTTATGGTTGATTACTAGACTGTAAGGGGTCACATTAAAGTTTCTAATTGTTACATGTAAAACAAAATGTTTAGCCTTTGTAATCTTTGCATTGTGCTTTACTTATAAGTAACTCTTTTGTCATTATGTAGCTCTTTTTAAGCACAGTTCTCAATGCTTATATTTTTAAACTTATAAATTCTAATAATACCTTGTAGAGTAACAGCTTGGTAGGCCCTTAATAAGTAGCAATAAAAAGTTAGTATTAACCCGTGCTATTTTATGTGATAAATCCTACTTATCAAAATTTAAAATTTAGAATTCAAAGTGAAATAACAGAGTAAAGATTAAAAAAAGAGGGATCAAATTATAAACTATTACCTATATGCGATTAAGAAAAATACAATCAAAAATTTTTGAGGACAACGTTTTTTATCACGCAACCCATTAGAGGCCGAAAGAGAGGGTAACAAGTTGGCTAAAAGCGTAATATTCATCGAACCTATATTAACACTTTTCGTCTAGCTCAGCAGTTAGAAACCCTGACGCCCAAACTCAAAGTTGTAAATTGAGAGTTTCACCTACTCGATTCCCTTTTTCGGTTTTTATGGTTGCGTATTTAACCTTGCCCTCAAAATTTCTCATACAAAGTCGCACTGGCGGAAACTGGGTTCACGCATCAACGCTTTTAACTACTGAGCTACATGACAGCCCTCAATCGCGGTATTATGGACTTACATAATAACCTGTTAGGCGTAATACTAAATATATAAACCAATTAATTTGTTTACTAATGGAAGTTCTCCATATGCCCTGTGAAATTGTTTAGGCTAAAGTTGACCCTTGCAATAATTTAATTAAATTTCTATTTGGAATTCTTACCAAGACACTAAGGGTTATTTTCCACATTTACCCATAGTTTTGTTATAGTAGAGAAAATTTTCTGATCAGGAATTTAATACTTGATTTTATTTGAAAACCTGTATGGGGTTTTAGATTTTGGACTTATTACTTAGTATAAAACCTTAAATACTGCTATTATTCATCTCTCTGTGCTTTTTCAGTCTAGAATTGACTATGATATTTTGCCATCCAGCGATATGCTGAAGTACATATATATATTGTTAAAATTATTTTTTTGCAACACCGGTTATGCTGGACACCTCTTCTCTCTTTTAATCTTCCGTAAAATTATATCATAAAAGTTCAAGTTTTAAAATCTGCCCGCTTTTACTTTTCCTTCATTTTATTTAGAAAATTAGTAATATAAACGTTTAAGCCAAGAATGGGTTATATTAAAGAAGGTATTATATAAAAATATGCATGTTTATTATGTATTATATCTTACTTGTAATAAGTTATTATCTTATAAACACTAAGTTACTACTGAGTCCCAAGGTTTCTTATTGAGTAGACAATATTTAATCTTACATAAACTAATAAACTATGCCTTTCTGCTTGTTATTGCTTCAAAAATGTGTTAAGGTAGTTTTATAGTTTTAAAAAAAGTATGACACCAAGTTTTCTTTATCAAAACGAAAAAGTGTCTCCAAATTTTGGATTTTTATTATAAAACATTGGCATTAGGAAGACCAGTATAATCGAGAGCACCTATGCCTAATTAAAGACAAAAAAAGTCTTAAGTTTAAAAAAATGGCAGAGCGGTTGAACCCTTGAACATATAACACGCATATTTAACTAGAAAAGAAAACGAGCCCCCGCCCTTCCGGTTTTTAAAACACTTTCAATATCGCCCAGGGCGCAGTGGGGGACCCGAATGTATAATTTTCTAAAAAGCTCAGAAATAGAAAATGGCTTCGGTGTTACATTTATTAACAAAAAAATTTTTTTTTAAATGATTAACAACTTACCTGTGTGTTTTAGAAAAGTCTATTATTACGGGAAATACGAGGAATTCTTAGTGATCCCCTGGAAGGAGTACATTTAATATTTAATGAAAACAACTTATTTGAAATACAAGCGGTAATTGACGGGCCAGGTACTTAATTGACGTTTTACACACGAACTTATAGAACTTTAATAGTTTTAAATTAAGTTGACACCCCTTATGAAAAAGGGAAATTCCGCGTTAAATTATTACTTGACAAAGAGTATCCACATTCTGCCCCAAAAGGTAAACACTTTGAAATTATATTGCTATTTTAATAAAGCTAGAACCTAATAGTCAACCTTTGTAGGCTACTTTCTTACAAAAATATTTCATCCTAATGTTTCACTCGCTGGAGAAATTTGTGTTAACACTTTAAAAAAAGATTGGTCCCCAAACTTAGGCATTAGCCATATTTTATTGGTTCATTAGAGTTATATAGTTCTATTTTACTTGTTTTTAGAAGATTTTGATGTTTTTCACCTAATAGACTATTAAATGTCTTCTTATTGAGCCGAATCCCGAGAGTGCACTTAACGAAGATGCAGGTTATAAAAAAATTAAAGGGAGGATGTGAAAGTTTATTGATATATATCTATTATTATTACTTGTAGGTAAATTACTTTTACAAAAGTACGATGAGTATGCGAAGCGAGCAAGGTTGATGACCACCGTTCACGCTATGGCGCATTTTAAAGGTACTAATAACGAAGTAGTAGATATAAACAGCGGAGAAGACTGCAAGGATAAGAATTTTGTTGTTTCTCAAATGTTTTGCGAGAGAAACACCGGAAATAGGTTAAATGAATGCCACAATGGGATCGCTGAAATAAAGGCCGTTGACACTAAGAAGAAAAAGGGGCTAAAGCGCTTATAAAGGATTTTTTATTTAAAGTCATCAATAAATAATTGTATTACGCTAAAATTGTGGAAGTTTTATCTCTTTCTTATTGAATGAAAATATTAAGTGTAAGCACCTCCGTATAGCTTCCATAAAATTTTTTATACATATGTAAAGTTAGGGTTACTCGATTGAGAGTTTTGCAAATTATAAGCGGGTTGGCCCTTGTTGGCCAGATGATTTCTTGTATTGTGTGTACACGCTCATAGCTTAAAGTTGCAAGGCTCTCGGTAGAGTTAAAGATTCTCAAATATTTTACCGCAGTAAATTACTTCTTCACTCTCCCATATTATATATAAATTCTTATATAATATACAAGGATCTCGAAACTTTCAGATCGTAAAATCGACTTAAGTAAAACATAAAGTTAGTTATCCCCTCCCCTACATAGGTAACTCTAGCATCTGAAATTTTGCTTGATCTCTGTTATATACGTTGCAACTCACTTATTAGTGCTAAAAGTAAGGTAGCAAAAAGCGCGTTTAAAGTTTATCAGGTAACCTCATATACTATATATAACTATATAACCATATGACATATCTTTTTGATGTTGCACAAAACTCTATATACCTTGAAACCAGCGTATTGTTTTTAAAGTTCAAAGCAAGTATATCAGGTTATACAAAATTTTTAGCCTCTATCATAGTTTGGCTTAACATTGTGAAATATTTTATAAATAGATCTAGCCATGGATTGCTTTTCTTTTCGTGTTATATAATAGGCTCACTTAAAGCAAATAGATTATATATTAAATAAGTCTATAAGGTTATGCCTAACGTAATTTTTTAGTATTTAACTTATATGCTTAACTAGTACCAAAATGAAATAAAAATATTAATTTCTGCAATAATTACTTTTCTACAGAAAACCCTTGTTTCAAGTGCACAGAATTAGTTTTAAAGACTAAATCCTTGAGTTGAAACTCTATAAAATTTTTGCGCACTTTATATAAATCTTCAAAGCAATACTTTGCGACTGCCCCAAGAAAGTTTCCTTTCTCTCAAAGACATTAGTCACTAAAGCAGTTTAATTTACTTCGGTCAAGCTGCTTAGTCGCTTAACCTTAATTAGTAAAATGATTCTACACCGTTTTTTTAAAAACCTTCTATTAACTCGCGACTCCCAATTAAAGAATTAGAACTTTATACTGGGGAGCGAGACTTATACCCTTTTTTTTTTGAGCCTACTAAAACCTTTTACAGTCTCACATTCTTTACATTTTTTAAGAGGATCCGCGCTCAAAATGGTACCAATATTAAACGGTATATTGCAGGACCTAGCAAACCAGATTTTACAACTACTTAGAAAGACTTCGACTCCTTTATTGAAGCTAAAGAAGCATGAAACAAACTTATTATCACTACATAAGAGACTCCACTAATTACGTCCCGTTTTCATTTGTTGTTAGAGATCTCTGAGTTCAGCAAGGCGGTTTTAAATAACAGGTTAAATATGTGAATCCTTCATAGCAATGTTAGGATCGCCGTCGCTGCCCAGAGATTAAGAACGTTGACGTGTAAACCCTAAGCTTCCTTTACTTGAGAATGTATTCTTTTTTAATAAGTTTAAAAGTGCTTTGTGAACTTTTATTGATTGTTTTGGAGTTTGATTGCAGTCATATACATCCCGCCCATAAAGATTAAAGAGAATTTAAAAATCATAACTTGTTCTTCACTTTCTCTAATAAAAATACGAAATATTAGTGATTAAAGTTCGGAACCATCTTTTTCTAATCTATGACTTTCCTAGTGCACCACAAAACGTGAAGACCCAGTCTAGTTTTTCAGGGCCGTCTGACCCTTTCGCAGTAGAGTTAGCTCCTCAAGGTCGGATACTATATAAAACCAAGGGTAGCTGGTACAGAATTAAAGCATTTAATTTAAAAAGTGTATGTTTATTGCACAAAGGGGCTGTATACGTATACATTTTCACTTAATAAAAGATTAATGAGATTTTGTCCTATTTTGCACCTTTTTGTCTTGTAGCCGTTTATTATTGTCTCCAGGGGCTTAGTAATTGACTAGAATCCAAACTAAACTAAGCAAAATTAAGAATATTAGAGGTTGCTAATAATACTGCTATGATCCACTCACAGTGCGAAGTTAAATAAGATAGATTCTCGCAACCGAGGATATGCGTTTTGCCTTTTAATTTATAGCTATCCGTTAAATTTAATCTATCCAAGCTATTTCTGAAACTGTGTATAAATATTTTTGCTCTGATTCTCGGAGCTCTTTCAGTGTATAGGGCTAGAAAGAGGTTGTTCTGTCTAAATTGTCTAAAGGGCAAGTTTAATTTGTCTTTCGGTGTTATTGCTAACTATATAGCCTAATGTCTAGAGGGCTTGTGCATTTACAAAGCTTGATGAGCTCCAAAGAAAAATTTCAAAAAAAAAACGATCATTATTTATTATAACAAATTTGGCAAAAGTATCATGTAAATTCTGTTTTTAAGAATGTGTCCTGTCGTATAATATTTTTTTGTTGTTCCTATTTAGCAATGGTAAAAAAGTTACCCGGGACTGAATCTTTTGTAAAAACATACACTATATATGTGTTTTTCAGCGTCGTTTGACAGTATAAATTCCAATATTATTGTTTTATTAGGCATCAGTTCCTTCAATAAATTTCAATAGTTTATGTAAAGGTTATTATATTGCGTATTCTGATTAGAATTTAATCATCTTGGGCACGGATTTAAAATTTGAATAGTTGAGGGCCACTTTTTTTTTTATTAGGTACCTTTTTTAAATCAATTGCTTCAATATTTTAATAATGGTGGCTCGGCATTTCTTTCCTTTCTGCTCTTTCTCCCATTCTTTCTTTTTCTGTTTTTACCGCGTTTTTTATTTTGGGTTTACGTTGTTCTAGAAGACCAGCGATATTTTAAAGTAGACAGTTGTCTAGAGGGCGTTATTTTTGAAGTTAATATATAGCTTAGTAGTTTAGGGGACAACTAAGTAAATACTTAAATAACTAGTTTTATTAAATATTTTAAACAGATTGAAAAAACTATTTAAACATATTGTATCTCACAAGTAAATTTTTGTTCTAGTTTATATATAACTTAATGTATAGAACTCCTATTAACAAGTACGTACCCCATGTTCTTTCGAAATTCCTAGCTACCTCTCTATGAGGCAGATGGTAGCATTCCATTATGATTTTTTTGTCATGAAGCATATTTAGTGGTATATGTCTCGCAGAACCTTTCGTCTTTACTATGCCTCAATCTTCTTAGAAGTGTTTGTATAGAAGGAGATGTTAGGTTAATCTAACCATTTTTTAATAAGTCAGTATTCTGAATTCTTCATTTTGAGCGATAAACGTCTTTGCTCTGTCTTTTATCAGAACTAAGCCCTGTGCTACATGTCAAACAGAGTTTTTTTTTAGTTTTATATTCTATAAAGCTGTAGTAGTGTCTGCCTCTCGCATTTGCTTAATAGTTGGCATTCAATAAAAGCAAGCGAAACGACCTTTTTTAAAACCGGGTAACAGATTTCACGATAGTCTAGCCCTTTAGCGCCCTACTTAATTTGTTATTTTTCCTATTGTTTTCCATGCGGTTGTTTTAATATTTTCATTGGTCGGTAACTTTGTTCATGGTAAAATTTTAAATCCTTCGCGTTATAAATTAAAATTCTTTTTTTAAATTCCAGAAAGTAGAAATCTCTTTTAGCTGAAATACTTACTTCATTTAAGGTTGAACCGGTGATGACTGGAACATTCTTCTGTGTTTATGTATATTTTAATTCGCAATTATCTATCATCCCATAGTTTGATTTTCTCTTTTTCTTTAGCATTCCTTCTGTTTTGTTATTATATTATACCATCGTTTGGTGTGTATTATAGGCATTCATAGGGTTGTATATTTTATTCTATCTTCCCGAATATTTTACATTTTATGCATATGTCGCACTAAGCAACTGTGAGTGAGCGTAAATAAAAATTAATTTGTTTGAGTTTTTTCATAGCTGATATGGCCATAAATAAAATATTCTTTAGGTAGATATTGTTGACTTGTTGCGTTAAAAATGATTTTTTTTAATCATTGGCTCAATAATACACATTTCTCCCCGTTTTAATATCTTTTGCTTGAAATAAGGTGCTTATTTGTATAAATTTTTTCTCTTAAAGTATGTTTTTTGCTCTACTACCTTTCTCCACCATTTTGTCCCTAGATTATTAATATATTATCGAAGCAGATATGAGTGACCTTACTTACATATGCTTTCAATCAACTATACACACTGGGCTCCCCGTTTTACTTTATAAATTTCAACAAGTTGATATATGCAAACAGAACTACCATACTTTAGATGAGAAGCTTTTTGCGATATTAAAGTTTCAGAACTTGGCAAATTTTCTCTTTACCCGCGGAACACATAATTATTGCTTTAACTGACCACATTAATCTATGGTTTTCACTTAAAAGTGTATGTAGTTAAAGACAAGCGAGCTGTATAGCAGAGATAAGCGACTGCTACTATAAATTCGTATATAGAGCCAGTAAGACAAGTAAGTAACCCAATGCTTTTTCCCGTTATTTTATTGCGAAAAAAAAAATTTCTCTTTTTAAATACAATAAGGTTGAGGGATAGCTCAAACTTTGCTCTTTTTTTATCCTAAAAGAACACCTTCTATGCAAGAATTTAAGTATATTTCTGGTCTTTCAAGAAAGCAGGGGTATTTTATCATGGTAGAATAATTTAACTGTTAGCCCTTTAGCGAGAATGCTCTGGGCTTAAAACAGTTTTGTTTTATATTCACTGGTGACTAAATTTACCACTTTTTAATGTTTTGTTGGTTACCGCCTAACTCGTTAGAACCTTGTACTCAAACTTACCAGAGGTTGTTTCAGAGACAGAGTCTATCATGTAGGGTCAGTTTTAAAGACCTACATTTGCAAATTAAACCTAGGCGACAAGTGGTAAACATAGTAACTAATAACTTGTAAGGGGCTTATAACTGCGAAATATTAGTTATAAAAAATAGTTGCAGGTTTTTTATAAACTTTTACAATTGAAAAATTTGTATAAATCTAATTTTTGTAGTAAAATTATTAAAATTCGGCATGAAAACTTTAGTAGACAGTTATTTTTTTTTGCTAATAATGGGAAAGAAACCGACCAGGGAACACTTTGAACTCGAATATTTTCTTTACAGTAAAAAAATTATTTCTGTTTTTTTTTAATTTTCAAGTTCTAAAGTCCCGAATTCTTTTTCTGAGCGTTGTTTTGCTTTCGTGCCTGGCCCTCTGTTAATTAGTCAGGCACTTGTTATTTCCTTGAAAGTTTACTATTGAAAGATCATAACACCCAACCCTCTCACTAGCTGGTACCACCCGGTAAATATTCATCTACCTTAACAAATGGCTATACCACGTTGTTTCGTGAACGGGCATCGGTCTTGTTACATGTAGTACTTTTTTGTATACCTTTTACTCTCCTTTGGGGTATATATACCTTGTCTCTAAGAAACAATAACTATCGTTTCTCCTCTTTTCTCAATAATCCACTTTTTGGAAAATTTCACGTTGGCCTTATATTGTATTTCTTAGGTTAACGGTAAAGGTATTATTGAAAGGTACTATTGTTTTTTTAATTACTCTTTAAACACTAAATCATTTCGGTGGGAACACTAGTATATAACAGATTAATATTTCTTCTAAAACCAGTTGAGCTGTCCAAGGCAGCTGCTACTCCTTTACTACTATCTACCTCAATTTAACCAATACCTTTAGGATGTAAATTTATTTCTACTGGTCGGATTATTACTGTTAAACAGTTATTCAGACCTCTCAAGCGGTCTAAACTTGTAGTACGCGTGCGCTTGATTCCTTAATTTGTTTTTCAGAATTTTTACTTCGGCAGTTCCTTTCAAAACCCTTCCTATATTGCTTTCGGGGCGCTGAACATATTTTTATTAATTGTAATCCGTGGTGCTCGACTGGGTCATAAAAGATACCGAATTTAAGAGCTTTCAACAGGGTGATAGCGCACACATTAGCTTCAAGCTTGCGATAAAGTTATCATATGTACACATACTTTGTGTTAATAAAAATTTTTAGCCCTAACCATTTATTACATAGTAAGAGCTCATGCGCTCTAGGGTTAGGGAGAGCCACGCCGTTTAAAATTTCTTGACAATTAACTAAGATGTAATAGAAACCGTACGGAGAAAGGGAGAAACGCCCCTACTTTATCTTTTTCTAACTTAGCTCCGGAAAATACCATAATCAGGACGTTACATTTTTTTTAAGACCCACAATATTTTGACCTACTATACTAAGTCCTAAAAAATGGCATAAATAGTGTTCTTACCTAGACTTGTTAATTGTTCAAAGAAAGAACTTGACACAAAGAAACTAGAGTTCGAGTACAAAGTACAAATTGTTAGGTTAAGTTGATACATGCAGAGCTTTGGTGTGGGTGCTAGGATAGCATCTTCTTGCCATAGAATGGGATCAAAATAGGCTAAAATAGTACCATCAGCCAAACTTGTTTTTATCCAAGGTGAGATTCAGCACTTGCACTCGCATGGTACTATTTAAGTTCTCGTTGCCAGTAATCGATTGGTGTGTTGATTTGAGCCGTTCATAGATGGCGCTAGCGTTGCGCCGAAAACGTTACCCAGAGGTACAATGCGGAGATTTTGAGAGTACTCAATACCATACTATACTACAAAAGAAGTCCAATGACATATTTTTATAGGTCGATTGTCGGTTAATGGTAATTGTATGCGCTTGTCTCTATTCCTTATTCCGCGTAGTTGTTTCTTCCATTTAAACTTTAAAGTTTTAATTAATTAATTATTAGGTAATAAGTAAATCAAAATTCCGTTTTTGAAGTCTCTTCGCACTACACTCAACAGATGTAATTATCGAGTGAGCACATTGTTAACTTTTATGGGTTCAATTAGGACATACGTTTAACTTTTTTTAATAAATATGTAGTTGCAACTATATATTTTAGAGTTTTTTATAACTAGCCTAGTACTTACTCCTTTATAAACTTTTACTTAGAAAAACCTATAAGACTTCTTGACTATAACTAATATACCTTGAGATCCGTCAAAGTCCAAGCATATATTTAATACCTTTAGAAGTATTATATAAATAACTGTGCCGCGTCTATCAGGTAAAGCTCCTTAGCGCCTTTTTTAAACTTGCAAAATACATCACGATTCGCGCTCCTTGCTGACATGAACAAACCCACATGTTAAGTTCTTACTATTTATATAACGTTTTTATTATTACTTTCTACGTGGCGTCAATCTCTCTCAATAATTACATAAGGCTATTGGGCATAACGACTTTGTATCGTACTAAGATAAGTAATAAAGGGGAGCCTTGTGGGCCACCAGGTTACCTCTACCAAGATTGTATATGAGTGTCTGATAGGTATTACTCAAGACGTGTTTTAACGATTAATCCTTTAGTCTTTTAACGTGATCACAGCGTATTCATTATTAAATAACCTAAATAAACCCTTAGGGCTAGTTCTAACTAGAAACGGTTGGTCGCTTAATTGTATGTTCTCCGACAGCACCTCCCTATTGGTATAACTATTTTCCTAAGCATCATTAAATATAAACTTTCAGCGCTGGCGTTTGTTTGCTTCATAAATTCTTTTTCTATAGTAAAAAGCAGCAACACCTCCTCTTGGTCCTCTTACCATTCGAGTTTTACAATTATTTTTTAAATTTGCTAAAAGGTTCTGCTATCAATGCATTATTTAGTAAAATATTGGGAGTCTTTAAAAAACCTGTCAACTCATCTTTGTTAGTCTTCAGTTAAAATTACACTTAATGCCGTGAGTTCTCACCCTAAAATATCACGGATTATCCTGCAAAATTAATTTTTCTAGCCTTATCTTAACATCTAAGTTTATAACTCCTTGCTACATCGCAGAACTTCTAAATGGCTCAGCTTGGATTCTCCATCAACTAAACAATTAGTCATGCCTTTCTAGCACTCAAAGTGTCATATACTTAGCCAAAGGGTCGCTCGTTAGCATATTTAAAGCAAAATAATTTTTTTTTATAACTTTTATCTTTTGCAACATCAAGAGTGCTAAGGATCTTCCACAGCTGACCTCCATACAGTTCGTTTGTTCGATGCTCTTAATCTCTCCACCTCGAGTTCTTCGTAAGCTCTTAAGTGTGTCACAAAATTTTCTAGATTTCTTCGGCTCAATTGAAAGCTATCCCAATGAGGTATCTTCATTAAGAACTTTTTTACTACCCCTTACATGTTCTTCCATTCCTTGCAGGCGGGGGCAGCTAAATCGCAGCCTTTTGAAAGAGCTCCACATCATTTAATTACGGAGACCATGAGTTTGTGTCTACCGCTACACTTGCTTGGGAGACACCTCTCTTTTAATTTAACTTAGATTGGTTCTAATTTCATAAATATTTTTACATATCCCTCCATTTCTTGTAGGAGGGAACTCTTGAATCGCAGCTTTTGAAAGAGCTCCGGCTCATATAACGGGGACCACGAGTTTGTATCTAATGTAACACTGCAGGGGTGACAATTCTCTTTTAAGTTATATTGGCTCTACTTCCCTTAACATTTTAAACTTAGAGGCTTCACCATAGATAAACAGCGCTAGTCCCACTTGCTCACTCCAGTTCAGAATCTACTTGCTTTTCAAACCCTTTACTAAATTTCATATATATATATATATACATAGATCCTTTTTTCCTTGCACGGGAGTAGTGCTTTATAAAGTTTAAAGTCAATTTCAATTTTTAGGGACTTTTCCATACAACTTGTCGGCACACTCTGGCGGCTTAAATTTGGTAGTCATATACTTTATAACAGTTCAACAGAGACAACATTAGGCTCTCCTTCAAATACATTTCACACCCTAGATTCATTCCTTAAAGAGAAATCAAATCTGAATTTCCTAATTAAACCTTTTTTTATAAAACTTTTTTATCCACGCCTACATAGCACAAGTTTACAAGGGCTCAACATAGCCACACTGAATAAACACCATCATTTTCTACTAGTGTCTTGGTTGCCACTGTATTTTTTACTAGTTCATCTCTATTATACTCAGCTCTGAAAAAGAGGCCCCAATCGAGAGCAGATAACCGATATGTTGTTTTAGGATTCCGTGGTAGCTTAGAGTTCAAGGCTTCGCTTTTTTTTATTGAGATTTTCTAGATCCTAAAGGTTTCGTAAATCTGGCTTCCGTTAGAGCTCCGAGGTTTAGGAGTCATTTTTCTTCTAAGACTTCATAACAATTTGAAATGTAAACGTTACTTTAATGGTGCTGATTTGGTATTGTAAAATCAAAGAAAAATTGAAATTGAAATTGAACAGAACAAAAAGACATCAAACCAGCATTAAATAGAAGGAACAACACCTGAACAGTAGGGAAAAAAATTAATCCAATGGAACAAAGGTACGGAGTTACAAGAAGTGGAAAGAACCTTTTAAGTATTACGATCTAATTTCTTTTAAAGTCAATTTTGAATGGATCCTCGCAGCGCCATATAACGGTTAACGATAAACTATAATATATACACATCAAAAAGAACGCCTTAAACCCAAATCAACTCATAATTATTAAGTGCTTAAGATCACCGAAGTATAAAAAAAAATTAAAAAGATATTGAGATGTAAAATATATCTTGTATAAGTTTATGTGACAAAAATAAAACTGTTTTTAAGGCTCATACTTCTATAGCCTATATGCATAGGATCAGAAAGAGGTGAAAGTCATTGATCTTGCTCTACACCACGTCGCTCTGTGTGGTTAGGTTATGTTTGTATACAATATATACATTAATTGTAACTGATTGCTAATATTAGTAGATAAATTAATATACCACCGTATTCGCGCTGATTACTACTTGAAGTATCCATCTAACTATTAGTTTCTATTACTGGCTCAGCGGATTTAAAACCTTGGTGAACTGCTTGATAAACAGTCTCGCATGCACATCCTATATTTATAGAGCCACTGCTCGACTTAATTATGTTCACCTGGACTTTTCCAACATTTTTTTTACTGTTAATTAGTTAAATAACGCAAACTATCTCCAGTAAAGTGAAAAATTAGTTGACTTATAAAGGGTTTAGTCTTTTATCGTTTTATAGAAATTACTTTTTTTCGAAAAATGAAGTTTTCTGAAAAATTGCACTCGATTTTTGAACGCCACGGCTTTGCTTTGCAGAAAAAGGGCCATAGTACTAACAATGTAGAGGTATCTTAACAGATTTATATTCACTAATCTGACGTGCATTTTATTACTGTTATTAATTCCTTTTCTCAGAGAGCTCTAAAAAACATTTTATTAATACTTCTAAGCTCTTTCAGGTCAACGAAGATCTTACTGTCCTTAACTATAATTCTAATTCCGAAGAATTTACTTTAAAAATTTTAAAGGTAACAAACTCTTTACACTATTCGCTTTAAAATTACTAAAATTTTTTAGTTAAAAAGCAAAGATTGCGCCGTTCACATTATAAGTGAAGGAATTGGAAAGGAAGTTTTCTATTGTAGATTATGCGAAGATGCTGATGAGGATGTTATAGAAAAACAGCTAAAGTCTTTTTTTGATGATTTTAGTTATGACAAACCGAAAGAACTAAAAACAGTTCTCAGCCCTAGTGCTTTAGCTGCTTCACCAGTTAGAAATAGTATTTAATAAAATTTTCGCTAATTAAGAAAATTTTAACTTTGTTTTAAAATTTATGTAAGGTATAACATCTCAAAAAGCTTTCAATTCTCCAAATTATGGCTCCTCAGATCTCAATCCTACTTTCGTAGGCAGTGTTCCTACTAACCAACCGCGTAACTACCAAGATTAATATTTTTTTTATAAGTAAAGATTTTTTCAACCAAAGATTCGGGCGGGATGCTTATGGGCCCCGAATATTTTGAAAATTTTCGGCCTTCAGCTCACTATTCAACTGGAAGTTCCCCGAGGTCTCTCCATAATTTCTGTTTATGTATATATCCTCCATTTAGAAGATCAAAACTTTCTAAGTTCTAGTGGGTATACAAACTAATATAATTCAGTCTCTTAACTTCACGTTGTTTTAATAAATATGCTCAATAGTATGGAATAAGGATCTAAATATTAAGCTGCTAATAATTTTTCCCGATACTTTGGATTAAGTAATTAACCTCTTTGCCTTTAACTTTTAAAAAAATCCATCTTCTTTTAAAGTACATTATAAGTCTTGGAAAAAATTTAAATTATTAATTCTTGTGTCTGGTCACCATTGCTTAATGCATTCGATTTAGTTACACCACGTCTGTTTAGTTTTTAGTAGATAGTATTTAAATATTTGTTACGGTTAATAATACTATATATCACCAGATAAGTTGTACTAAAAAGCTATTTTAAGGGTAATTTACTATCTTTAGTTAGTAATTATTAGCGACTTTAGTACTTTTTAAATCAGAAATCTTTTATTTTATATGACGTTAATGCGTTTGATCACATAACGCACCACCGCTCTAAACATGTGAAACTCTTGTTGCGACACGTAGCCAGAAATTTATATAATAAACTTGCAAAAGTGACAAAAGAGAGAACGCTGAAAAAAGTTTTAATATTTTTAATTTTAAGGGTAGCAGCTTCTTAAATTCCTTGTCTGCTCCACTTTGAATTTTCCACAATTTGCGGCAACCATTTGAGTTAATTTATATTAATGTTGTTCTCCGTAAAAATTGTAATTAAGAGCTTCGAGGATAATAAGCAGACTTGTATTGTAAGAAATCTGATTAGTGATTTTGTTCTAATACCAGATATATACCTCTACTAAAGTTGGTACTTGGACTCCTACAGTGTTAGGATAGCCTGAATTTCCAGTATTAGTATCCAAGCGACCAGATTAGTTGTAAAATTAGTTTGTTTCTCTTCAATTCGTTAAAATTTGAGGGTTTAGCTGGTAACAGTGACTGCACCCATCTAATTAAAGGTTTGCATTATTTTTCATTTTTTAACTATTCTAAGGTAAAGCGAGATGCCTCCTTTGTTTGGGTATCTTCTATTAGCTCGAGTTTAAGAGCATAAATATCTTATGAAAAAATATAAAATTTGTTTTAAGCCTTCTGCTATGCCCAACTTCTAAAAAATTGATTTTTAGTTTTTTTTTGTGTGTGCTGTATTTAATACGATGTAAAGCTGCATATATGTACTTGTCTTTGGGCAACCGTTTGAGTGGCTTACTTTTTTTTCTCAACTTTAATTCTAGGATTAATCTTCCGGAGGGTTCTGTTCCATCTAGTAAATATACAATACTTTCACTCTTTAAATTACTTAAAAATCTTATATTGCAAGCATATTATCTTGCACTTGCAATTTATTTATCTTATATCGTTAGATGCCCGTTTTGATCCTATCTACCCTTCCTTTATTGACGATGGTACATTCCTTTATCAAGCAAATTAGTAAATTATGACTTTGGTTTCCGGCTTGGTTTCTTTACCTAAACTTTTAACAAAATTTTAGTATTGAAAAGCAAGCATAGTAAGTTAGTTTATTACTGGATTTACAAAGTCAAAAAGAAAATTTCACCTTATGTGCAAGCTTTTTACGTGTTACTTTTCCCAATTTCTATTTTATTAAGAATGATTAACTAGAGCTCTTCTTTAAGAAATATATATAAATTTTAGAAGAAAGAAAACGTACTGCAAACTATTTGAGTTGTTAAACCTCCTTTAACTTTTTTAAACCATTTTTAAAAAAAGGAGCAGTTGGAAATTCTTCTCCTGCAGGCCCTAATCCGGACCACCTTCGCTTACCTTCGTTTCGAGAGGGGGAAAGAGCCCCTTTCAGGTATGTTTAATTAATTTTGGCGGGCCATCATTGCTTTCACACTTAGTTTTTTATTTTTTTATTCCATGGCCAGGTAAACTTCACGTAGATCCTACTAAGCATAAAAAAAGTTCTTAACTTCTTTTTAATGTTAGGTAGAAGTGGGCATTTTAGAATCAAAAGATTGCGCTTAACCGAAAAACGGTTTTTAATCATTGCCGTTAGTGAGGAGAGTTGCTAAAAAAAATCTCAAAATATAACAATTTACGGTGTCTATTTTTCAAGAAAGTCCGGTGTGACCGCCAGTGGTAAACAAGGAGGCCTCTAAGTATAATATTAAGGGTAATGGTGAAAGGAAAACTTTATAACTGCGGTTGGATGTAAAATGTAGAGTTGAAAGTTCACATAAATTTTATATAATTCTAAAGTTGATAATTTTTTTCGATATGACCTTATTTTCCTATAGATTTAAACCTTCCGGTCAAGGGCAAAACCCTTTTGGAGGCTCTTTTAACGGTTTTGACGGGGGATTCACTTAATTTTTAAACGTTTAATTAATAAAAAATTGCTAACCTCAATGCTTTATTATAGCCTCATAAACGTGTGAATTCACTTGGCAACTTTAACTATGATAATACTGCAAATAATGTAAAATTATTTTTGTTAAAAGAGTAAGCTAATAGTATGAAATATTAAATTTGAAATTGTATGTCCTACTTTACTATGTGTAACTTAAAGGAACTTTAAGAGTTTGCGGCTGTTCTCACGGGCAGTAAAAAAACCATTTTTTAGCTGTTTAGAAAAGGCATCTGATTAGTGTCGTCGCTTAAAGATATACTAAAAGGGGTTGGTTGACTTTTAATCTCGCTACTGTTCCTTCCGAACAAAGCAATGGGAAAAGGTTGTCACGCGCAGTTTGGAAGGCAAGTCATTATGTAAAGCTTTATACTCACTTAGAAATCGGGCCTCTAATGCATGAATGGGTACTCTTTAAGAAATAAAACTGACTCCAATAAGGTGTTGCAAGACACTATCAGAAATAAAGAGGTCTTGGTTAGATAGACAACTATTATCATAGACCGAAAAACAGAATCGTGCAGGTGGGATCGAACTCATGACCTTGACTTTATGTGTCAATTCTCTTTACCGCTCTCAATTCTGGTTGTCTGTATCTACGAATTGAGTTGACAAAAAACACTTTCAAGTGGTGCAGTACAGCGGGCCTCAGTTACTTCGCCGACGATGGCAACAAGCTTTCCGCAGATACCTGTTCGGCGTAGAGGCCAATCAGATGGTATCCTTTAGAAGTGTAACCAAGACTCCGTCTTCCATCATAACTAATATATGTAATTAAAATTAATAAGAATTATTTATTTATAAATTTAATAAAATATCAATTAAAGGTAAATAAAACTTTTTATAAATAAATATTAAAGCTGTTATATAAATCATATAAAAAACTTCACGGTATTAATTTTGTTATAATAAAATTTTGTATAAAAATTTTGTAGCAAAAATATAAAAAATAAATAATTGAGAGGCACCCTTGAGTTTATGAGGCAGCATAAGATGATAAACCGCGTTTAACGATAATTACTTTTTCATCCCATTAGGGATGCTCCCTAAATCAGGTTACATTTTATCTCGGTGAGCTATGACAATTTCCTAAAGGTCGGTTATAATAACCAACTGAAACTGCTTTGGCATCAACTTGGTAGTTTATGTAAGATACCGTTTATTAATAACCTGCAAGGGCAGGTTGCTTAGATAATCAGCGAAATGAACAGCGAATAGTTTGGATTTGTTTGCAAGGTTTAGGTTCTAAGCGTCAGTGGTGCAGAGTAAGGGGAACGCGATTTCCATTTTCTAAAAATTAAAAAAAAAAGTGACCCGCCCCGGGGCATGTGGCACAACTTGATCGTTCACGACAATTGTGGTACGCCAACAATCTAATGTGCTAGCGTAGTCACTAAAGCATTAAATTGTCTCCGGTTTGATCGGCGTGCCACTTGAATGAAGGGTCGACGCTCATAAATAAGCTCTTTAGTTCTTCAAACGGGCATCAGAAGTGTACTTTGTGCGTTATGGTGAGGTTAGCCATGGACGTAACGCTTTTTAAAGTTGGTAACGGTAATATCAGAAGAGTGGACATCGCCAGTAGGATGGATATAGCGAGGATCATTAGGAACTTACAGCATTTAGTCTAACCATTAAGGACAGGCGAATGTTTCCAGTGTCTCCTTTTCGCCGTATATTTTAAATCTTATGACATTTCCTTAAGAGCTTCTATTGTCTTTAAATGTATAAATCTTTTATTGAGGGCGAAAAACTTGTCCCTGTGTTGAGGCGGGCTTCGCGGTGTACGTGGATTTATGGCCCCCGAACGCTGTTCGCGGTTTTTGTCGACCGTGTACCCTTTTAACGGATTACTCGCACCCAACTGTGAGGCGTCCTCTTTTAGAGTTGCGGTAAAATTTCGACAGTTTAAGGAGGGCGGCCGTTACGGTTGAGATTTACACAACAGCTAAGAAGGTGTTTTATAATAAGGGCTTCAAATTCTAATTATATATAACGTTTTTACCAAAAAACTTATAAACTGTAATTTAGGGACTAGCCCTGGACCGGTTTAAAAGAACCTTAACTGCATTCATGCTTGGTAAAACTAGTATAGTTAGTTATAGTGGCATGCATCGTTTAACCAATATAGTTGGAACAAATAAGTTTACCTCGATCCTTTCACGCTGTATTGAATTCCCACCATTTAGATAACTTGGAAACAAATAGCTTACTTGCACAGGAAAAAAATTACCACTAGAGAAATTAAATGCTCTCGAGTTCTGGGGCGGTTAGGTACAAGTAGAACGCCAGACATGGACATTAAACTTTATAAATACCTTAAGCAATTACCAATTTGAGTGGAGTCAAGGAAAACAGGAAAAATCAGTGCTTATATATGCAATATATTATGGGGAAGTTTAATACAATAACTAATTTTTTCTTCACTTCCTGAGTTAAAACTTTTTAAGCCTTTAAGCCGTTTCAGTTTTAGATCTAATTTATGCTGGCGGTAAAGTGTAAAATCGATTGACTAAAATTTTAATCATTTATGTAATGAAATATTTATATATTAGTTTGTGGGCTTTAAAATCGTAGAGCGTAGCTATAATTTTTGAGGAGCGCTCTTGCCCTATCCGAAGTTGGCAAGTATAGCTTGAAACGAGATTCGGGTTATCAAATGTTAAGTTCTAGTAAACTTTTTTTGAAGATTGTTAACATGACTTCCTGATAACTTAAAACTTATTTCATGCCCTCTTAAGGTGGGTGCCTCATTTTTGTCTTGGTGGGATAAATAGTCTCTAAACATTTATAGTTTTTTCATCTATGTTTTTACAGTTGATGCATTAATTAAAGTAATTCATTTTTGTGGATCCTGTAGTTTCTAAATGTAGAAAATCCTATTAGTGCAGTGAGCTTGAAAACTAGTAGTTGCAAACCCAAAATTGCATTTTGCATTAAGTTTACTCGTTTCTTTGTAAAAAAATTTTAAGTACGAAGCGAGAAGATTCTTGTTTCAAAGTAGCTAGCTTAATAATGTTATCTTTTTTTGGGCTCACCTTTAGATGACAGGAAAAAAAAAGACTTCCTTACCTTTTAAATTTTACGTATTTTGGTCAATTTTAAAGGAGTGACAATATTTTTTCAAGCCAGATGGCCAATCTAACAAGCATGCAACTTGTCATACTAGAGCTTGGTAGATTATTCTTTCACTCGAAATATATAAGTAATTTCCAAAACCTTAAGCTTTTGTTTTGCAAATGAAAATTTTTAAAAAGTAAATTTTAAGCCCAACTTTAACTGACAATAAGTTCTTTTCATTAATGTTTAAATTTATAATTTTTTAGATTTCCAAACCACGCCATTTAGTGATGCCTACCTTAAAAAGGCGGAAGGGGATCGATTAAGGTATTAAACCCTAACACACCTCTTACACAATTAACTAATTTTTATTTTTAATAACTTTATTACATTATTCAACTCTAAAAATTTGGTAATAGTTACATTATTTGGAGGGGAGGCGTATTTAAATTGTAGTTAATTGTATATAACAAAGGAAAACTTATAAATAATGAATTTAATAAAAAGAATGAGATTTGATAATATTTATAACTAATATTATTGGGTGCTCAAATGGCTTATGAAAACCGAATTTACGAGCTCTCAAAAGGTTGTTAGCGTACAAATTAGTTTTAAGCTTGCGTACTAGCAGTCTCATGTGTATAGCTTCTTACCTATAACCTTAACCTCTATTATCAATAAATAAAAAAATTAAAGTGCATTGCGGAGCGGCGATAACTGCGCCGTTTCGCTCTACTGCGGTAATCTATAGCTGTGCTGAGCGAGTTATCGGTAAATGGTGACGCAATGCGCTTCTTCGTGTTAAAAGGGACTGTCTTTTTACCTAATTTTCCAACGACGACACCAGTCGGCAAGCATGACTAGACGGCATTGCAAGTGGTGCTCAACTTCACATGTCGTTGTGGTTCCATGATGTGCCATGATCACGCTCTCAAATTGGGCAACAGCAAAATAAAGTAAGGCAGAGGATGCAGGAGATATTAAAAGGCCAGTCTTTAGAGGCCCTAATATATCTTCATTCGTATAAGTTTTGAGGATTCGAATGTTAGAGTTATCGACACGACTGCTTTAAGCTGGATACTTCCAGTTAAGTTCCCTACGTAAAACCAGCTGTGGGACTGTGTATAAAAAGGGTGTCAGGATCTAAGGTCTTTAATAGAGCGACATATGCACCACCAACCTTCCTTTAATGCTTTGCAGAACTGACAAAAATTCCACAAGGTCTTAAAATTCACGTCTGACCAGAATAGCTATACCTCCCCGCTCGTATAGGGGCGATTTTAGCGGTACGTTGAAAAGTTGCAGAATTTGATCGAAACACTGAAAACAGATGTCTCGCCAATAACGCACAATCGATTCTTTCACATTGCATTTAATCCTGCAAATCATGGAGCCCGTATTACGCCATCTAAGTGCTAGAAAGAAACCGAATATGGCAGTGTCTCCGTCGTTTAAAAACTATTGCAGAAGGATGCTACATCCATAATGTCTTAAACATTTTTGACAATTGCTGAAGAGTGGTCTCTTTGACTAGAAGGGCGGTGTAAAAAGAGTTGGTGTTACGTTAGAGGAAGTGGATTTTTTATGCGTTGGTAGAGCGGTTTGATTGGATTTTGAACAGCTTTCCAGGTAATATGAGCAGAATTGATTGTTAGCGGTGTATGCTTTACCTTGCCTAACTAGCAGGCCTGTTTGTGCTCTTATGCACTACTCAGAGCTGTTGCCTTCGCCACGTTTAGCGCATCGGGGCATTGTGCTAAATGCTCTGACAGCGTTTGGCATACCCAAAGTACAAATATTTTAATAAGGCTAATTTTTACAAAGCTTACTTATTACCGGAATATTTAGACTACTAGATCATGAATTGATGATCAAAGCTTCCTTAACACAGAGGAAATTGGTTTTTTAAGTTGTTGGTATGTGCAACTGCTGTTAAAATTTAATTTACTTTTTTTTGCCTTTAGTAATTTAGGTTAAAAAATTTCATTGGCTTAGGCACATGCCGTAGCATTGTTATTAATTGTTTAACTTAGTAACGCATGCTTTAAGTAGCTACCTTACCTACATGATTCCTAATACATCGTGTAGTTAAACCTTTAAAGGGCACATTTTTTTATTATCATTTCTCTTCGGCGTGTGACAAATCATTATTTATTTAATGTTACACGTGACTTATTTAGTAGCCGTTGGTTTTTTAACATAAAGTTATTCTACTAGATTTAATTTTCACTCATAGAAGTTTAAAGCAAGTTCAAATCTATATGCTACTTCTCGTTCGCAAACAACAAATTATGTGGGTTTCAAGTGGGAGCTAACAAGAGTGAGCTTGATAAAAGAGAAGAGAAATGTATGAGGTGAGGCGCAAGAAGAAAAATTACATAAAAAGAAGAAACGTAATAAGAATATATAAGAGAAGGGGGTAACGATTCATGTAACGTAAAAAAATAGGATGGAAAAAGATCAAATAGGACGCGAAGAGTACACTGGTGAGGTCTAACTAATTTTAATAATATTCACATGCTTAACCTACATATGACTTGAAGCTGTTCCCGTGCAGCACTCAATCTCCTTACAGCTTGATTTTAATTGTACTGTCATTATTGATGTTAATTAAGTAGTTGAAGCTTTATAGCACTAAATATCTCAAATACAAATGGTAATTTTTTTTTTTTAAAACGCCTCTGTCGCGACAAATTATTCGTAAAGTTGCGTATTGCTTTAGTCGTTTACTATATTATATTACTGAATCTCATTTGCTAACGCTGCCGGTTAGTACCCCTATTCACTACTACATAAAACGCGACGATAAACTGATTGTAAACCGTCTGCATGGACGCATCAAAAAAAAGAGCTGACTACTTATTACAATAGTGGCTGGGAGGTGTAACTGCAGGATTTGTCTCTAGTGTCCAACGAAGCACGGCCATTTTTTTAGAGCTTTCTCAAAAGAATGAAAAATATTGTTGAACACCACTCCACCACTCTCAATATAGGCGTGATTGTGGCTTGAAGCAGAAAAATTATAGCGGTAGCTGCTTAGTGCGTTCCTCCTACTTAGGCTACCTATAGGTTCGAAGGTAAACACCTCATCACTTCTCAACCTTTGACGGCAAACTTACCAAGCCGATACTCTTTTGCACTTCCGCCACGGATAGCGCCCAGATTTAACGGCATTAATAAAAAGCTGCTAAAAAAGTGACCGCCGGTGACGATAAACCATCTCTCCCGTTTTCATGTTCTATAAAGTCTTTTAGCTCCTTGCAACACGATGGAAACAGTCTATGTTCTAATGCTACTTAAGTTATTGCATTCCTCAGCTATATCGCACCATTATCCCAACATTAGCTGCATGCAAAACCTGTGGCTGCTGCTCTAATACGCTGACTTAAAGTCACTCGGTGGGGTCTCAACAAGTTTAATAAATCCTGTCCAAGTCTTACTCTGGGTTTCACTCTCTATTTAAGGTCTTCAGAGATCTGCGCCTTTTTATTGTCGGAGCGTGAAGTTGTTCTAAAGACAAGGTATATTAAGTTTTAGTCTAGAGGATTAAAACGATATGAGAGCTGAACTAGGAAGAGTTTATGGTTTATGCTTAACGGTAGTAAAATATCTTATGTAGTCTAAAAGATAACCGAGTAAATATTTGCTATTAGTAATACAAAAAAATATATAATGGGCATTGCCTCGCTGTCATGGCGGTCGTAAGTTACTATATAGCGGCTAAGGTCAATGCGACTGCTTAAACGCTATACCCTCTACTTTTTGCGAAGAGCAGACTTTTGCACGACTAGTGTTACACTAGATCCTAGGTCCTCCAGTTTATAATCCCTGTGTCACTGTATAGCCAGCTTTAATTTTATATTATGATATTGAAATTAGAAATGATTGCATACCTAGTTCCATTTTTTTTTTTAATTAATACAAAATACTATTTTATAAGTTATTTTTTTTCCAAGTTTCAGTATGTAAGATATCACGAGTGACTAATAACTTAAAAACATTGTGCTGCACTAAATAACTTAAAAAAACAAGTTGTCATTTTTGAGTAAATACACTGCAGGATTTTTCTCGGAGTGGAATCTTTAAAGGACCCTTTCTTAAATATGTTCGCTGGGAAATAAAGTATTAAATAAGTTTTTGGCCCGTTTAGATCTTGTTTTTAAGGCGAAAGGACCCCAAGTATTTTTAAGGTTTTACTAACTGTTGGTTTATTAAATGGACCCCTTGTAAGTGGTTCCAAGCCAAGGCACGATATCTAAAGCCAAGTTAGTAAAGTAATCACATTACTTTATTACATATATCCTCAGCGTCAAGTATGTGATGGAAACAAACCTACACGCAATGGTTTCTGGGTGCAACAAGGTTGTTTTAAAACACTTAAACAATGAAAGTCTCCAACTAAATTTATGTGAGTTTATGCTCCCGCTCTCTTTCAGTAGTAGTTTCGGTATCTCCTCCAAAATTCCTGTGGGGCTCTTTCTGTTTTACAGTCATTTCGTCTAATAAGATAAGCTACCTCTATAGATAAGATTTGATGAAGCCCTTTTTTAATATTGGAAGTACCGCAAATGCACTTCTAATGTAAGGTTTCGTCAGAGGAACGATAGAAAGTTGGTTTGACCTTTCAATCTACATTATGTGGTATTTTTCTACGGTTTACGCAGTAAGAATTTTTATATCCTTGCACTAAACTTTTTCAGGAGCTCACGCCAAGCCTCTTTCCCTTCTTTTTCTAGAATAATTAAGTATCATATTGTTCCTGGTCTTTCCTTAATACAAAATCATAACTTGTAATATATTGGGAAGGTATAATCTTAATCTATTTAATTCATCCTTGCGAGGAAAACTTCCCGTCTTCTGTAGAAGGGCCATCTGCGCCAAAAATTATCCGCCTGAATTAGCTGGTTGCGTACCCACCTGGTGTGCATTAAAAAATACGATGATTAGAATACGACCTTTTGTTGCCATTTCAGACTATATGAATACCAATAATTTTTTCTAATCTTTCTAATGCATTGACTGTTTTAAATCCTCTTAGAACGACTTGTTTAAGAATCACCTTGAAAGTTATTAATTATTTATTTTGGGTGAGCTACTGCTATACAGTAAAACGTGGAGATTCGTCTTAAACTCGTACAACTGGTTTTAAAACTTTCTGAAAACATTTTTAAAGGTTAATATTAAAAAAAGTTGCGGTCTTAACTACTGACTCTTTAGTATTTTAATAAACGAGGAGAATAGCAAAACGGGACTTCCTAAGGAAACTTGTATTACTCAGTAGGGCGCATGCTAGATCATAATACTAATCAAATGGCGCACGCTTGCGCCTTAAGAATTTTTGGAATTTTTGCTGTATTACTAGTAGGAGTTATTGGTGAAGATAATACTTATAATTACTAAGATTGCTTTTGAGTTATCACTCTTTTGAGACCACAACAATCAGTTTTTATTGAAAACAAAAATTTATTATTTACCAAAAAAATAAAGTAAAAAAAATGAATTTTTATCTCCGCTTTTGGAAAAGGACTGTTGTTAGTCCAATGACCAAATTACGCACTTTTTAAAACTCACAGGCAGGATAGTTAGCTTATCCCAAAATTAAATTGCCCTGTTGCGAGGATGGCTATTATATTTTTATATATCTCTATATTTTTTTCTCTCTTGTTTATTTTGTTGAGCTGTTCTTCAGAATGTCCTTTGTGTCCTTGTTTTAATTGTAGTGAGGTTTGTCTTTAAATTTTAATTGGTTTTTGTGTTTGACATTTTTAGCTATAACATAAAGTGTTTTAAGTGTTCACAAAACAGTTAAGTTTAAAATGTTAAACTGTTCATTATAAACAGCTTTAGCAATTCTCAGGGATTAGTTAGTAGTGCACTAATAGGCTGTTTTTGGGTAATCAGGCTTGATATTTTAAATAAATATCTTATCATAAAACTAATTTTACCTTGACAAGCTTACTATTTAGTTGCTCTTATAATAGGGTAAGTAAAGTTTAATAGTGGAAATCAGTACATTTCTTTTATTGCACTTTATAAAATAGATTTACTAATTGTAGTCGCCCTCGTTATTAATCCGTTTTCCTTTCATATAAAAGGCTTCTTGTCGACATCAAGGATTATGTATTTCTTCTAAAGCCGAGTGTATGTGTGGCCCAATGTTTAGTGGTTTTGATTGCAGCCTACCACGTAGTGTTCGCCTTTATTTTACTTTTTATTAAGTGAAATTAGTTTATGCATTGTTGTAATCACATATTATAATACTTTGGCTATTGTTGCTCAATAATAAAATTAACAGAATGTGTACACGGATATCTAGACTCTCGCACTTTGAACTGTTCGTGTGACTCGGGTTGGAAGGGTCATTGGTGTGAGAGTAAGCGAATTTAAAGTCGTTTACTTGTATCTACTTTAAATCTTCTTTTATCAATATAATCTTTTAAACTTTATTATATTACTTTATTCTGAAAGTTATTATAATAGTATGTGCCTCGGCTGATTCCTGTTTAAAGTCGAGTTCACTTAGTCAGTGTGACCATAGTGTATTCCCTTTTAAGTTAAAACGATACTCTTGTACTTCGAGCGATCAAGGGATCGTTTCCCTCCTAAAAGGACAAAGAGGTCACTAATCTTTTATGTTATTTCTAAAAAAATTAGTGTGTACATGAATGTACGTTAGGATTGGTCACTTTGAGTATCGAAACTTTGCCTAATTCCTCGATGCATGGCAACTTTCAATGTAATACTGTTTACCTCGTGACCTTTTACTATGAACTTACCTCTTGGGCTTCCAGTTTTTGCTGCGGAAGACAATGTTAAACTCCTACCTCGAGAGGATCTCTTCTCCTGTAGCTTCACAGACTGCACTGATGAGTCGACGAGACGCACTTTCAAGGTCGACTGCGAGAATTTAACATGTAACAAGGAGTGCATATCGGGTCGGGGGAAGTGCACTACCAGTCCGTTTCCTGATGTTTTATGATTACTCTTTGTACCACCAATTTTATCTTTATTAGTTTTCGAATCCATAATTAAAAGCATTGAAGGAAAAGTATCACTCTCCTGCAGCGAGGAGGACCATTTATGCTTAGTTAGTGGTGAGGTTTTCACTGACAGCAGTTGTTCTGCATAATTGCCCATAATTCATTCACAGCGCCCGTATTAAATGTATTAAGCTCTGGAGGTCTTCGCTTGAGCTGCACAATGGGCGAATGCGTTTCCGTATTAATATCTTTGGAAGCTGCTCTTGGATTGCGTTAGCTTCATTGCTTTGTAGGATTCGTCAGACAAACGGGAGCTAAATAAAACAAATAATAATAAGAAGGTAATGGATATAATGCAGGTCACTATTTACAGTTTCACCTTATATTTTTTATAGAGTCTAGAAGTTCTAGTTAACGAAGTTACGATTATTTGTTTAGTCCTTTTACCCGCTGCAGTGATTGGCTTGATGGCCCTTATGGGTTTCTTATATTTATCTCGTTTATTTTATTGTTAGTGTTTCTTCTTTGTATACGCTGTAGGGGCCCGCAAGTATTTTAAAGACAAGAAAGCGCCAGAGGGTGAGGCCTACTATAATAACGACGCTCTGAAAGCGCACCTTCGGGAATTGTGCCAGCCCGAAGGGCCTATTGATCTTTCTTTCTCTGACATTTCTTGCTTTGTAGGTATCACGTGCTTAGAGTGTATCAAAAAGTTAATATTTACGGTGAACTGTTAAGAAAGTAGAAACACACGCGCCACCTGCCCAATTTTAAACGCTATTACTGGGACAGCCAGCGCAGGAGAACTCTTTGCGCTAATTGGCCCCTCTGGTGCAGGAAAGAGCACTTTATTAACCATTCTGGTTCGTTATGCGCTTTTTCACTACTTTGGGAATAAAAAATGTTCTTTTTCACTGGTAGGGAAAGCGTTACAAAAGAGGTCGAATCAGCGGTCATATTTTCCTAGACGGAAAAATTCGCACTAAGCATTACAAGAGGCTCATTGGGTATATGTTAGCAGGGAACTTTTGTGAAGACCGATGAATTATAACCTTTTCTGTAGGTTTGTGGCGCAGGAAGACTGTCTTTTGAGCACACTTTCTGTGCGCGAGAATTTGCTCTTCTCTGCTCTTCTCAGGCTTCCGGACACCATGCCCTTTCGTAAGAGCAACAATTACAAGCACCTGTACTGTATAACGTTGCTGTAACAGAGCTTAAAAAGAATATAGTAGAAGGCGTGCTAGAGGATCTGGAATTGACCGGACTTGCCGACCAGCCTGTCGGTAGCACAGGTGGGATAAATCTACAATTTCGCAGTAGTGATAAAGCTATAAAGTGTTTGCAGTTGGAGGTGGCCTTTCTGGGGGCGAGAGGCGTAGAGTAAGCATCGCTATGGAGCTGGTAACATGGCCCAGCGTACTACTCTTAGGTATTTCTGAGACAGCCTGGCTTTTATTGGGTCCCCAAGTGGGTAATTGCCCCACAGACGAGCCCACAAGTGGTTTAGACACTTTCAACGCTCAGTTGGTCGTCCGTTGCCTTTGGCGCCTTGCACGTACGAATAAGACCACGATTGTCATGTCGGTCCATCAGCCAAGGCAAGTGTTGATGCAGTAGCTCACCCTTTTTTTCTGAGTAAAATGCTCTGTCGCTTCAGTTCCGTCATCTTTCAACTTCTAGATAAGATACTCCTTTTGGCGAAAGGCGAGATGGTCCTGTTGCCTCTAGGTCGATGTGCTCTTCTTTAAGTCTTATTCAGGTGTTTTTGGGGACACCGGCAGAGTCACTGTCTCACTTTAGCAGCATCGGCTTTCTCGTTCCTGACAACTACAATCCAGCAGATTTTCTAAGTATCTTCGTATCAGTCGTAATTTATTGTTATCTCAAAGCCGTAATCTGAGAAAGTTGATGTCATTGTGCACGCGCAACGGTTGTCAGAGACAACTCTGCCCCCTCTTCAGGCTCAGCCTTCTCGTAAAAACGATTGCATTGTCGTTCTTCCTATATTGGCTCTTCCTTTATATTGAAGGGTGCTCCACGCCCGGCCCTGCGGACCACACGCATAAATCTCGCCTTGACCTTCCCTTTAAGGTAATACGCGCCATCAGGTCTTTTCTCAACTTAACTGTTCTTTTTTCAGGGGGATCTAACCCAGCGGGATTTGGACCTTTCCTCTTTAGGCAAGCCTTTTAACCCTCACATTTATAATGATTCCAGGTTATTGCACTAGTTGACCATTACCGTGCTTCGGAGGCCTTCATTCGACACTGCCCACGTGGGATGGGAAACGACAGAGTGTATTATAAACTTTGCCTCCCGTAATAATATTAATACTACTATTACCTTCAGAACTGTGTCCGCCACTCCACGTAAAGGTTTTTCCCCACCTTTTCAGCTGTGTTGAACGTGTGCTTATTGCTGTTTGTCCAGGAGCCTCCTTTACCACGCAGTTGGTGGTGGTGTCCGCGCGGGCCCTGCGCCACCTCCTTAGGGACCCTTTTCTCTTTTGGGGGCACCTTGCGGCCTCCGTTGTTATTGGAGGTTTAACATTTGTATACCTTTCATGCTTGCTAAAACGGATAGCTTTCTTTATGATAGTTGTATTGGGAGTTCTGTATGGAGGACTCAACAGTACCGGGAAGAGTCAAGGTCTTATTGCTCAGTTCGAACAGCTTTTGGGGCTTCTTCTGCTCATGTGCGCTTTCCTCTCTTTTGGAAGCCTCTCTTCTATAGAGGTCCTACTTATGCTATACTGCTAAAACTACACTGGTTAATATTGCGCACAGACTTTTCACAGGGACAAACTGCTTTACTGCCACGAGCGTTCTAATCGCTTTTATACCCCCGCCGCCTATTTCTTAGCCAAAGTATAGTGCTTGTACGCATTGGGGTCATCACTCATTGGCCGTCCTCAAAAGATTGCTATCGATTTCCTTTCTTTGCGCATTCTATCGCCGGTTCTTATGGGCTTAATAGCACACTTTATGATTGGTCTGCGCTCTGGTATCTGATTCGTGTTAGCCTATTTCGATGGTATTAATTATTGAAAAACTTCTTTGCAGGGCAGTTATATCTCCTTCGCTTCCTTGTGACACTGGTGCTTGTGAACTTCGCCGCCTCGAGGTGCTTTCTACTCTTCCACCTTCATTATATTGTTTGCCGGTAACTTTTGGCAGTTTTTGTATGCTTTTCGGGTCCCTTTCCAGTCGAACGTCCACCGCTAATCTTGCCGGGAGTTTGTTTATGCTTGCTTCGTTGCTCCTTACGAACCTCTTTAACAATCCCAGTTGCTTTTATAAGCAGTATCATATAATTCAACGCTCTCATACTTTGTCCCGCAGAGTCAATGACTCCTTATGTTGCGTGGCTACACTACTGCTCTTTTTTCAACTACGGCTACGAGGCCATCGTGGTGAACGAGCTCGAGGGCACTTTTTTAACGGGAAAAGTCCTCGGCGCAGACGGCGTTTCTGTAACTACCAATTATTATTGATCATTATTACTATTATTACATTATAAGTAAACAGGTTTCTGGTTCCTCCATTTTGAAGGACCTGGGATTCGAAGCCAAAAATCTGTTAATGGACCTGTATATACTCGTGATAATCATATTCGTAGTCCAGCTGCTTACGTTTCTCTCTTTAAAGTTTTTAGCGCACCGCTTCGTTTAAGCTTTTTCTATTGATAATAAAGATTGATATAACCTTTAACTTATAACCAACAATCTGACTTCGCAAAAAAATTGTATCAAGGCAGAGTTGGAAGGGAGAATTCGTAAGTATTAGCCACAGTATTATGCGTAATATGTTAATATAAGCTACGAACCAAGTGATAGTAGCTTCAGTCTCCTTTCTTTTTTTCCAGGGATTCAACTTGGGATTATTAAAACATTTCAATTTCTCTGAGTATGTAAAGTAAATCAAAAAAAAAAAGGAAAAAGAATGAAATCTACAGGAGGCTCACATTTGTAATATTACTGCGTAAAACCACTCATAAGAATTATAAGCCTCTAGTGAGCTCGCCTCGAAAAAACCTTAAAGACAACCAAGCCATATTTGTTAACTTAAAAGTTGATAGCACTCCCTTATATACCATATATATCTAATAATATCAAAGTGATATAACAAATCTTTCAACTATACATACCAAGTGGTTGGCATAGAAGAGTTCTGTTTTCAGCATGAAAGACAAGGCAAAGTTGCTTAATGCCGGGTCTAAATGCTTTATATAGCATCGCTAGAAAGTACGATCGTCGTGCTTTATATGGTTAAGTATTATGTCATTCTTATTTGGTGTGCTTAACCTATATATGCTAGATAAAGAATGAGAAACAAAGCGGATATGGCTAAATGATAGCTGACCTCTAAGTAAGTGTCTAATGTCTTAAGGCAATTATTTCGAAAAACTACCGTTTTAGATGTGTAATGAAATTTATTTAAGTGTCTTACAATTATGCACTAATAATTGTTAAAGGAAATAATAAAAAAATGGTTGCGAGTTGGGATGGAGTTGCTGAAATACGTTTCTTACATATAAAGACAAAATTTTACGTGTCCAAGCTCTCGACAGGTTGAAGATGTAAAAATAAGTTTTAACCTAATTTGAAGTAAATTTATAATTTCTTGATTTTTGCCCTAAACCTAACCCAAATTCTGAATAATACGATAACTTAAAGTGCAAGCAGTTGCTTTGGTGTGTTCGGTGATCCGAGAATGGGAGGAGTCAACTTTGTACTAACAAACGACATTTAGTAAAAAAAAGCACCCCCCACACAAATTAGGGCTCAACTTCTACTCCAGCCACAATGTAGTTCAATTTTGACCGCCACGACCTCTATAGCATACTTCGCAATGGGAGTGGCGAACAGCCTTTTACCTAATAAATTTTCCTTTTTTACTTTTTACGGCGTTAACTATAAGTTCTTGACTACAACTGTGGTTGGCAAACATAAGTGGATAGATCGGCAGGTACTAGTATAGTAGGCAAACGGTTTTAATGAACGAGAAAAATATAGCTGCATCTTCTGCTGATACTGCCACTAGGTGTGTAAAAGATAAACTGTAACTCGTCATACACATTTTAAAGTAAGTATTACATGTTGTATACATATATAATAAATGGCAACAAATTAGTAAAAAGAAGTATAGAAACAGTTGGACAACCATATACCTTGAAATGTCTACTTGTAACAACGGTTGTATCAGCACAGAAGGAATGGTGCAGTCTCTTAGTCTGGTGGTCTACAGTCACAATATTACACCATAATGCGAACACTACCGAAAGGAAGGATCCTTGCAGAACTTTAACGTGGTCACACGTAAGCCTATTATTGTAAGGCAACAAAAGCAACATTATATGTAATTCATAGCTGAGAACGCACTATTTTAAATTTTCAACAATAGACCTTATAAAAAACTTTTTCTGTTAGCAATATT